TATATATACCTTTCCAGAAAAATCGCTTACCACTTGTGCTGGAACTTGCTCCATTTTTGCAGCCGGAGTTCCCGGTCTTGGGTAAAACTGGTTAAAAAAAAAAAAAAAAAAATTATACCTTTCCAGAAAAATCGCTTACCACTTGTGCTGGAACTTGCTCCATTTTTGCAGCCGGAGTTCCCGGTCTTGGGTAAAACTGGTTAATAAAGAGGCTTGGAAATTTGTACTCTTCCACGAGTTTCACTGTTTCTTGAAAATCTTGATCTGTTTCTCCAGGAAAACCACAGATGATGTCTGTAGCAATCGTGATTCCAGGAACTCTAGCAAAGAACAAGGCAAAAGAGGTACAAAGTTGACTCTAGGTCAGAATTGCTCGATTTCTTTGACATCTTAAATACCATTTTTCTTTAGAAAATTAAATTTTCCTTTTCAGAAGGGGACACTTGCAAATACTTACAAAAGAGCCCTATCAAAAGCACACAATGAAAACGAGTGGTCCAATGTCTCAGGCTCAGAGTCCCCACCAGGAACTCTACGAGATGCTTCTTCCTTCTGTCTTTTCACGTAGATGCACACACTTCTATTTCTAGATGGATCATTTTTTACACAACAATGACTGACTTCTGTATTATGGAAAATACCCATTTAGCTCTTTAAGCTACTATTTCTCTATTCTTCCAAAATCATCATCCCGCCATTTTTAGTAATAATATTCCCTTTGGTATGATTCTCAAAGACAAGGCTCATGAGTGAGTCAACTGCTGTTCCACACCCAACCACCACCACTGAGTCTGTTATGATGCGTGGCAACATAATAGGGCAGAGTTTTCAAGGTTGTAACCTGCGATCTTTACAGAAGTAGATTGCCACATTTTTCTTCCATGGAGTGGCTGGTGGGTTCAAAATGCCAATGATTAAATGGCGAGCTCCAGACAACCTATCAAATATCAATACCATCTTCTCTTTTTTTTTTTTTTAATAAATCATTTTCTTGGGGGCTCTTACAGCTCTTATAACAATCCATGTATAGTACTATCTTCTAAGCACGTGGATGACTCATATAACTCACCCGTGGTCCCCTCTCCACCCCACCCCCATCCCTGTCTCGCCTTCCAGTGTGGATGCAGCACTAATGCTTCTTCAAGTGCATCTTGCTTCCACAGTGAAATTACTGTCATTGCTGAACACTGTTACTCAAACTCAATCTCCTTTTTTTTTCTTGGATCTTGGATTGTCGTGATTTCTCATTAAGGTGCTCTCCCTGCTGCAGCATGTTTCTGAAGTTTAATAAGGGAAAATGCCAAGGAACTTTCGTTGTTAAGTCTTAGCATGTCTGATCAGGTCTTCATCCGCACAGCTGACTGATAGCATGGCTGGCACAGCGCTCTAAATGTTCCATACCCAAACCGCACCATTCTATTACTTGTAGCGTCGTTTTGCTGCTAGCTGCGGTCGAGTAGATTCTGTGCCCTGTGGGCACACATCTGAACCAAGGCATTTTCAAGGCTACGAGTGTTTGGAATGTTCAGAAGCTCATTTGCACACCTGTCTCCCAAAGCTCCTCTAGGTACGTTCAAACTGCCAACCTCTCAACAGGTTGCCAAGTGCTTGAACCATCCAGAAGGTCACCATTATTTTTCAGCTGGCAAAACAGTTGATGCCCTGTCCAAATTCCCCCAGGACGCACACTTCTGAAATGTGTTGTGGCAATTTCTGAGTACTAGTCTCAGTGATTTAAAATTTGAGGCTTCATTTTTTTTTTTTAACTTGTAAAAAGATTTTTATATAAAAGTTACCATTAGCCTTGTCACATTTTTTCCCAAACCATTTTATTAGGAGCAAATCCAGACATTGTACCACTCCCTACTTCAATCATATCAAGCAGTATGACAGAATTGCTACCACAGTTTCAACACCTTCTCTTCCTTCTTGAACTCTTTGATATCAGCTCCCCTTTAACCTCTGCCTCCCTGTACCTTCCCTACTGTATTCCCCAGGAGCCCTTATCCTAATTGTTATCTCTAAGGGCTCATCCATCCTGGGTGTCATAGACCGAAAAACAAAAAATACGTAACAAAGACTCAAGAAGACAACCCACAATGACGAGATCCATCAGAGATAAATCCCTGTATGAAAACAAAACCCAGACAATACGGAATACCAGAACAAGCCCTACATGTATCAGAAGGGAGATCAAGTGATAAGGTTTTAACTGTTCAACTCAAAAGTATCATTTTAATCTACTGTAGTTGTCTCCCCAATATGCTCTGTGTGGTAACCAATTTATTCCCATCCCTCGATTATGGTTC